AAATGGCGCTGGGGCAGGTTTTCTCCGAGTACTTCGGTTTCCCCTGCCAATCTTTATTCCACCAAATTCTCCATCATCATAATCACACGGGGCAGGTACAATAGGGCAATCAGTGGCCGCCGTGCCGAGTGGACCCAGTTGGACTCCACCCCTCACTATGCGAATTGAAAAATATGGATAAAAAGATTCACAATTCAAATATTATTTCTGAATTAGTAAGAGTCAGCTGGCGAAGAAGAAGAGCGGTAGTTCCCCTATACTGCGTATGAATGCATGAAAAATTAAAAATTAATGAAGTGCCGTATTATCTGAATAATTTCGAAAGTCGTACTTGGCGCTTAAGTCATATTAGCTTCATCTGGGTGAACTTTGTATTTACGAATCGACGCTATTGCTTCATTACGGCATTTGAGTTTTCACCATATACTTTAACAATATAAGGATACCCCAGAAACTGTTATATACTATTCAACTCCATTGTCTCCAGATTTTTTATGGACTTTTCTGATGGTATATTCTAAAGTAACCCCCCCCCCGCGGTAGCGTAGTTGGTTGAGGCACTATGCTACAAGCCGGAAGGTCGCGGGTTCAAGTCCCGATGAGGTCACTGGACTTTTTTCAGTTAACCTAATCCTTCCAGCCGCACTATGGCCCTGGGGTCGACTCAACCTCTAACAGAAATGAGTACCAGGAATGTTTTTGGAATATTCTTGAGGGTAAAGGGGGACCAGCACGTAAGGCTGATAACCTTGCCGCCATCTGTGAGCCGATTGTCTAGAGAAAATGTGGGAACGTCAATATCTCACAACCCTATGGGCCTCCATGGCCTGTTACTGGGATACCTTTACTTATTCTAAAGTAAAGTTGAAGTGCAAATGTGACAAAGCATGTCCTTGTTTCTGACCAGAATGAATACGACAAATGTTTCATTTATACGGACTTTGCTGTTAGTTTCGTTTAGCAGGTATTAATTCATCTAACCGGTTTAATGCATATACTACACTCAATACGAACATTGTGCTATATTTGTTTCCCGAGTCACGGGCTTTCTCGAATTCTGTATGAATATCCAATGCGCCTCTAAACACGCAACAGTAAATGTACATGTATATCAAGTGGTTAGAATTATTAATAAACTATTAGGTAAACGCTTTTCAAACATACTGAGATTAACGGCAATGGGGATCCGTTGCGCTGACCACGTGACACCCTCTATCCGCAGAAGTTGGTACTAACTTTGCCGACAAGTCGCGGTCGCTTGGTCGGTATAGTTCACGTGCGGACTACAGGCCATTAAGTTTTTTTTTGTTTTTTAATACTTTAATTGTGTGACGTTTGAGTTTCTCAAATCGGCGACTATGAAGACTAATATCTGTGGTGTAACATCATGTAGCGTACAAGTTTACCGACATTTTGGTGAAACGTAATGCCTCCATCTTTTGGGTTCAAGAGTAAGACAGGCAAGCAACAAGCTTGTTTTCAGAGTGCTGCTTGACTCACTCTTCCAGCATTCCGCACAAGTACCAGTACATTTCTACCAAACAAGATGGACTCACATTTCAGAAAGTTAGACTTGAAAGGATTCTGACGATGGTGTATACTGTACTTCTTTTGGCTTATTTTGGACTTCACCCATCGTCTGGTATATAAAAGACAAAAGAACCACGACGTTTCGGAGACTGGATCTGTCTCCGTCTTCAGGTGGATAGGGAAGGATAAACCTACTCAGTTGGGCCCCTTAGAAATAGCTAGTCTCAATCACTGATTGAGACTAGGGGCCCAACTGAGTAGGTTTATCCTTCCCTATCAACCTGAAGACGGAGACAGATCCAGTCTCCGAAACGTCGTGGTTCTTTTGTCTTTTATATACCAGACGATGGGTGAAGTCCAAAATAAGCCAAAAGAAGTACAGTATACACCATCGTCAGAATCCTTTCAAGTCTAACTTTCTGAAATGTGAGTCCATCTTGTTTGGTAGAAATGTACTGGTACTTGTGCGGAATGCTGGAAGAGTGAGTCAAGCAGCACTCTGAAAACAAGCTTGTTGCTTNGCTTTTGTCTTGTGGGATATGACAACTTTTAGAATGTTGAAACTCATCCGACTCTGCTTTCCACTTGCTTTAACGCTGGCTTATTCTTCGACACTGAAGATGGAAGCCACATGTTCCTTCGAAACGTCGGTTGACTTTCAACGGACTACACGGAGTTACAAGACAAAGATAGAACGCTTCATAACCATCTCTGTCAGAACCTCAAATCCTACATGAAGTACTGTAAGTATATAGTTTGAACTGTGCAACTGAGACATTTTGCAAAATATTGTTATAACTAAAGAAGCAGAGAAGCCCAGTACATAACATGTATATATGTTGTAGCATGCAGACCCGTTGCTAAGTAATGACTCTGTAAACAACACCCACTCTTAGGCAACAAATTCCTAACATGCACCAATGGACTGCCTGGGAAGAGGCGTTTTCTTTGTGGCCCTTGTGACAGCTGAGTGACGCAACAATAGAACGGTTTGAAGTGGTGTTTTCTATGCGGTCCGTACCGAGGCATTATAAGCAGGAATAGTCTAGGATTTCTTTCTGAAGAAGTCGCAGAGGACACCCAGGGCTACAACAGGAAGGGTGTTCTCTTCAAACCTCACCACTCCAGGTGGGTCCTTCACGGCGGCATTCCGAAGCAAGCCAGAGGAACAACGGCAACCTCAAGACACATCAGGCGGCAGTGGCAGGTCCCGCCACAATGGAACCCAGGGTCCCTGAAGCCTTATCCCAACACGAACCGCAGACAACAAGTCAGTTCAAGCACCAAATGTAAACAACTCGTCTCTGAACAAAATGTTGATAGTAGTAGTAGCGGTAGTGCAGCTGATTATGAGTCTAATGGTGCTGTGTTAGAGGAGACTAAAATATTGGCCATTACATTTGTCTTAAACCTCATGGAGCAAAATGGCCACTCAAATTCATAGGCACCTCAAAGTCGTAGCATTCAATGTGAATGACATTGCGAGGCAACGCTATGAGCTCAGTAAACAGCTGCAAGACCTGCATTTAGATATAGCCCTGTTTTCAGAGACACATCTGAAACCTCAGGAGAGGTTTATTCCGGATTATTATGTTTATAGAACTGATCGCTACTTGGACAGAAAAGGTGGAACTGCCGTTGCAGTTAGAAAAGGCATTCCACATAACCATGTAGACCTACCAGCTCGTCTCAATAGAAGCGACAGGGGTCTGCATACCAACTGGTAACAGTGAAGCTCTACTTGCAGCTGTTTATAAATCTCCAGGCTGTGACTGGAACAATGTTGACATCATTGAGCTCTTAAGCTTTAGACGAAAATTTATTCTAGAAGGTGATCTGAATGCTAAGCAACCATTTCAGAATAGCGCAGTTTCAAACCCTTCAGGCGAGAAACTAACGGAATTATTTGATTTGAATGAATTTGAAATTTGAGCACCACAATGCCCACTCATTATTCCCCTGGGGAAAATGGTGATGTGCAGTGAACACTTATGTTTTGTTTTCTTGTCTATTAAGAGTCCCATTGTTATAAGTTTATTTACCAAATTATGAATTCTTTGACTACTGGAACTCTTTCATCACAAAATTTACATCAAAATTTTTGCCGACAATTTCCAGCAGATCCGTATTTCATGTAGGTGCCATACAGAAATACAGTTTGCTCTAAAGTATAGTGAACCTTGTTGTGCCACACTGCTAATTGTTAACTGGGAACAAATGTCTCATGGCGCTGATAATTACTGCCTATTCCTCACAAATCATAAACAAACTCCCATAAATTAACCACACTGCCTGCCCTGTAACATAATACTATGCAGAGGTCTACAAGTTAATTATTTTCCTTCATTCCAAACGTTATCAGTCATCACGCATGCTGAGTCACTGACAAAAATCGTATGCGCTTTGCAGCTGTCAATACATTGACGTCGGTGAAGTGCAGAGCTGTGAATATGTCTAGTTATTAAAAATATTCCCTGTACATAATTAGAAGTTATGGGATGGAAGTGACATTATGTATTTCAACAATGAAAAAAATGAGCATTTTTGCAAATTTTATAAAACTCTTCTCACATCAAGGTTGCACTGTAGTGAGAAGCATATTCCAATTTGAAAGGAGACTGAAGTTAATGAGGACGATTCATGAGATGACAGGAATATGTGGAAATGAGACCATAGGGATGAAATGGGAGGAAGTTGAAATTGAGTACCTGTAAGATATGGACACACTGTCCACAGACAGTGACAAACATATGACACTGAGTTACAGTTGACTACAACGGAAGTTACCAGAAATACAGCATCCTCAGGTTGCATCTAGAGACAATCTCTAGATAGTGTCAAACGCCAGGGACTAGACACGGAGTGCTGACTGGTAATTGGATTTACTGAAGACTTCAAACTCATAGCTACAAATAATTATAGCATTATCACTAATGAACAAATGTAATAAATCACCAAAGCACAAGCTGTCTCCATGTGTTACAGCCTTCACTAGTTGTTGCTCAGTTACGGCGCCAAAAAATGAAGATTCTTCTCCTCTTGTGCTTACGTTGTTGCTGGCTGGCTACCATGTCACAACTAACTGTCTCAAATGTCAACTCTCAAACTACTAAGTACCTGATGTCCTAGTTACATAAGACTCAGCATGGACAACATAAAAATGTCACCTCCAACAGCTCTTCTAGTGTTGCATTTTATTCCTTGCATAGCAATGGCTCATTTGTTTAATGACATAAGAGTGTGTTTACTGCACTACTGCCTAGAAACAAATGACATCATTCGGTCATGTCACAATATGCAAAGTAGCCACATATATGGGAACCTGGACAAAGAAATGAGAAATATTTTGTAAATTTCTAATTTTCAACAACTAGATGTTCATTTTATCAACACTCTATCGCTGGTTTCAACCGAGATAAGCGGAGAAAACAGAAGGTACGTCCACTTCTTCCAACAACAAAAACTGAAGACTTAGTTCAGAATATGTATTCTTCAAAGTTTGTACATATGGTATGACTTTTACATTAATCATTATTGGTATAAAAATTACACCAGTTTCATGGACACAAAATGAGTTTATGACAAAATAACAATGATTCAGTGCTACAAGTAGCAGTTTCCTTCAAAGTTTCTCATAGAGACTTCTTCAAAATTACATAGAATTAAAGGTCATGCAAAATATTATGAAGATTCAATGTGATCCATTCTCTCATACAACCTCATGATGTGGTTCTTAACCAATTAGACTTCACCCTGACCATTATCTTTTCTTGTATATTCTATGTGATTTGTGTAAATATTTCAAAGGCAGAAAAATGCCTAATCAATAACAGTGCCACATACATTTTGTATGCTGTGTATCTAACATCAGTGACTTTGTTGAAGCTTCAAGCTGCAAGACAAACTACAGTATTTCAGAATAAAAAATATATTTCTAAAATTATTTATTTATGAAGTTCTTACCATTTAAAACAACCACTCTACATCCAGGTTGAAATGTAATGTACATAAAATGAAACTGTTTTGCTGGTAAAGTTATCAGAAAGAATACAAAACTGAAATAAGCCTGAACAGGCAATCTGATGAATACCTCAGTGACTGTGCTTACAAGATTTGAAAAGAAAGACTCTCCTATTAGATACAAGAATATGTATATAAAGATGAGTCATGAATGCTTTAAATGAAACATTGCAGGCTATAAGTATGCACCTAAATACTCGACACGTCCTTCTGTGAGTTGTAACTTGATGAAAACAGACATATTACTGAGGTATCAGTCACTGTCCAAGAAACAATCAAAACGATGGCAAGTTTTGTTCGCATTATACATAATTTTCTAGTAACTGAAATTTCACACTGATGCACAGTTATATCTGAAGCAATGTCATGTGAAGTAACTGGTCTATTTCATAGCTATGAGTATTCAAAAGGCCAAAGTTCGAATATTAAAAGTCTAATACCACTGACTGTTTAGTGGTAAGCCTAGCGTCAGCCTGTCTACTTCCAGCTGCAAACTGGAATTTGTTTGCCAAATATGTTGGTAAGAGCAAACAAGGTGATTTATTATGCATCTATAAAATTTCTAGTAGATTAGAAAGTCAAAAAATTGTAAGAATACAGCATACCAAAACTAAGATCACAACAGAATAAAATATTAGGAACATAAGGATAACATAATACATTAACATAATTTCATTATTCTCTACATACAGATTTCATAGTCCTTTTACATCATTATCCTTAAACATCCTGTGCCATTTGCTGAGATGTATTAACCTCGTGCTTCTGAATTCTGTATGAATAGTAGCAGCATGCTGAAAATAGAATTTAGTGACTTTCTGATGACATAATGTCTATGTTCAAATATTAGACGGACTGTATGATAAGAATAGTCTTTGGCGGGGGTGGGGGGTATTTTTTAAGGAAGTTAACTTGCATGCTTATCATCTCTGAGCCAGACATCTAAATGCAGACGATGTGTTTCCATCAACATCTTTGAAAACTTGCTCCAGCAGGGGTTCTCAAATTCACTGCTTTACTTTTTTACAATTCTTACTCTGAATAAGATATAGAGACATAATATGACTCTCACACTCAGTATGGGCACTGCTATTTCTTGGTTATGTGCAACTTTCTAATAAAATGGGTTCCAGAACTCTGCTACAACACTGTGAAGGCTGAATTACTGTTAAATACCTGAATAAATTCATAGTGTGATATAAGCAGTAAAATACAATATGGTTTCAGTTAGTCACATGGAACAATAGGATAGTGTACTATAGTTCTTCAGCACAATTCATCAGACTGGGTGCTGCTGGCTATGCTCAACCATGCTGTAACTTATACCTGGAAAATCCAAAGCTAAAAGTGAACACTAATGACGCAGTGAAACACGAAATCAGTACTTGTTTCTGCAATAATCACATACAGACCAAGGAATATTTTTTTCCAAATTTCCATTTTCAAAATTAATATTTCACTGGCAGTCTATAATTTTTATGGGAAAAATGGAATTTCACTGCTCATTTCTCCCCTAATTCACACCCCTTAAGAACTTATGGCAGGTGACGTGACATGTAGCTCCTCTCCGGAGATATCCATGTTTTAAAAAACTGTACAGTCATACAGTACTTCACATAAAACTACTTCACACATTACAGAAACTATGAACAGCAAAAGAAAAATTCTTTGTGCCTGTTATCATTGATACTATCACTAAAAAGTATGTCATGTATTGTGTCTTTACAGGAAGAAAACAGTGGATTTTAAAATAGCCACCTTTATATCTATACATAAAACATGGTACCACCTGTAGATTTTTGTTATGAAAGTGACAATGCAGCATGGAAGGGTTTACTTATTCTGCTGCGTCTGCTGTCCAGCCCCCGTGCCTGTATTACCATAGTTGTAATTGCTCTGCCCATAGCCTTGCCAAGTTCCCTGCTGTGGATAACCAGCATATGTGCCATCTGTTCCGGTCTAAACACACAGAGAATTATGTACTTTAATAAACAGCATAAAACTATGGCCATCTCTGTTTCATCAAACCAATCTGTCCTTTCACTGACACATCCAACAAAGAACAGTATGCTCTGAATATGTTTCTTCCTGAAACCCTCTGTGACCTTAACTTCCAAAACAAGAAACATGAACTGTTACATCGAAACCCACACTGATGATCCCCAATAATTTCATCTACATATGGACTTAACCTTGAGAAAAGGATATGGGATAAAATTTTGCATGAAGTTGGTAGCAGTGATATCCCCCGATAATTACTACAGTCAGTTTCATCACCCTTCTTGTGAACTGGTACAATAATATATTCCTTCTACTGATCAGGAAATACTTCCTTATGTAAAACAGAATTATTTAGCTTATGGATCTCAGACCATAACGTTTCACCTCCTTGAATTAGTTCTGCCAGAATTTGATCACTACCCGGCAATTTTACTTTTTCAACTTTGCAATAGCAATTCCAACCTCAAAAGGGCTAGGCTCAGGTACTAACAGCTCAGCTGTATGTATTTCTATCTGTTTAACATCCCTGACTATGTGCATTTAATAGCTGTGAGAAGTAGTGCTTCCATCTATCAAAATGTTGTGGGAATCTGCAAGCAGATCACAATTCTCATCCTTCACTAAGTTACTTATAGGTTGGTAATGCCTCTTAAAGTGATTTATTCCTCTGTACAGGTCTCTTAATGTTTTTGTTCTTACTGTTCATTGCAAGCTCATCAATTCTGTCCTTCAGATATTCCCCCTTTTTGTTCCTGAAATGCCTGCTGGCTTCACACATTATATTGTTCAGATTATCCCCATTTATTTTGCTTTGATCCTGTAACCACTGCAGTTTGGCTTGTTTCCTTTGATCTAATAATTCTGAGCAACCTTTGCTGAACCATGGCTTTTGCTTCTTCAATTCATGACAACTTAAGACTCTCCTTGGCTGAAATTTTGATCCTCTCTCTAATAGTTTACCAAGTTCTATTAATATCCACCCCAGTGTCCAAGTTTCCCAAAGCTGCGAACCTATTTGAGATTTAAACACGATACTGTCTTTACCCTCTACCTCATTTAATTTCTTGAGATTGAATCTTTCCATATGAACTCTGTGCATTATTTGTTTACTCACTGCCAGTCTCTCCCTAACCTTTGCCACCACCAGGTAGTGGTCAGTATCACAATCTGCAGCCCTGAACAATCGGACAACAAGTATTTGAATGCCATCTCCTATCTATCAAAATATCGTCAGCTTGGTTGTGAGTCTTGCCATAGGATCCTTAACCAAAATTAATCTCCAGAGGAGAATTTGGAATGTAAATCCACTAAAATCCACTGTACTGCAGGGCTGATGGCCAGATTTAACCCATCATGCTGGCAGCCTCAGTTACATCATTCAAATAATAATGGCATGAGCCATGTATATGGATAGTGCACAACCCCATTAATGCGCGTAAGTGAGCATCAATTTGTTTCCATCTATTTATGATGGCTCCTCATAGTGCATGTGTCCCTTGTTCCTATCCCCCTTCCTACTACTATGCTCTCTTAGCACAGGTTGGCTTTGAGACGGAGCATCACTTGCCTATGGAGCACTGTATGCAGAGGGATTGGTTGCATCTGTTCTTATTTGTGAATTAAAATTATTCTAATAATATATTGGTCTGTTTCCAGATGCTTCAACTTTTGATAATTTGAGCAGCAATGTTTACTAAATATACATCATATACAGTTCACGGTGCCTGGAGGCACAGGTGGCAGCCCAAGTATGCACTTGCTAACAGTAGACACAAAATCAGCACTGCACTACCACATCTATGAGGAAGATCAAACCAGCTACAGTATTAGACTTTAAATAGGCTATAGTTTCCAAAGCACACCTTCATTTTTTCAGTCAAAGACTCACATAAGGGCAACATGACACTGCCTAATAAATATATCATGTGGTAGAGAAACAAGTGAAAAATGGGGAACATTTTGAAATAATCTAGCGATAAATAATGGTGTCATTACGAAAAAGTGGGGTGAATGTTTCTGGTTCTCATGATAGTGTTTCTTCTGTGTGAAACTCTGAAGACAAAACTGAAGAAGAAATACAGTATACTCCTGATTATCTGTGTGATTGAAGGGAAAAGGTAAACAAATAACTGAAAAACATGGTCAATCCAACATATTTTATGAACATTTGGAAATGTACACACAGATTCCTGTTCATTTAATTATTTTTAAAACTGTTAAGACTTATGAAGAAAGAGTACTGAACATAAAATGTGTTTCATTCTTCTGTACGATTTATGCTTGAAACGATTTTTGTCCCAATAAATATTCAATGAGTTTCACTTGAGATATGCACAAAAACACAAGTAGGTCGTCATGTAAAGTGCTCATTAAAATTGTCCAGTCTGAAATAAAACTGAAATGGTTTGATGATCATTCTCAAAATTATCCAGTATCTTGCAGTCAATCTGTGCGTGGATAATCAGGAATCATTAAAGTGTACAACACAAGAATAAAAGGACCTAGACTGGAACAAAGAAGTTATTAACAATGAGGAAAAGCTGACGATTCTCAGTCCTTAAAAATCCAGTTCTGTGGAAACTGCGATTCCATAAAGTCTGTCTCCGGTTTTCAAGCTACATTTTAATGATTCAATGATGGATACAATAGCCACTAACAAACAAGCCACTGTGCCACAAAATTCACAGACAAAAATGAACTAAAGCCAACATCATGTGTTCTCAACTGGACAGACAATGACAGTGATAAACTTAGTGATTTTTGGTATCCAGAAGCTTGTGTGACTGTATGAAATGCTTAAAATAAAATATTTTGGTAAAATTGTTTTCTGAAACACCTGTTTTCCACAACTTTATATCATTCATGACTACATATTTTGTGGACAATGATGAATTTGAAAATTTGGAAGGAAAGAAGCAACTATTCAAAACTGATATGTTTCCAAAACACCTGTGCAGCAAATTTATCAGCCTCTACAGTCTGAAGCACACACATCCCTTGGCTAATTCCTGACTCTGTGAAAAAAGAGAGTAAGATTCAAGCAGTACATTCCCTTTGTACTTCATGCATTGGACGTCTGTGAAAATGTATTATACACAGTGGAAATATGTACAACAGATCAAACAAGCAGCTAACGGTCTAAACACAAGTGAAATTATAATTTCACTTGTGTTTAGACCGTTAGCTGCTTGACAATAATTATTGTCAAGTTGGCAAAACTACTATTTGCCCAAGAACAAATATGAATGGAAAACTACTATAAATATGTCAATTCTGCATCTTTCTAAAAACACAAATTAATATCTTTCCATGTCCCAGCCATCATACTTCCGCAAGAAGCAGGAGAGAGATGCGTTCAGAACCCAGTTGCCATCAAAAAACTAAAAAAAATCCAAGAACTGAGGGTGTTATGATTTGATTAAGTTAACATTTTTTTTTTTATAATTTCATTCAAATCATTCTTGAGAACATGAGGCAAAGCCACAGCAAAAATGGTTTCATGATGAATAAGGCAGTGATCAAATTTTACTTCCTGATTAACATCCCACACTTTTGCCATGAAACCTCTCATTTTACCTGTCAACGACAACCCCCATCTCTGAAGACACTAATACGATACTTCAATTACAATCCATTTACACCAAGATACTTATCAGTAACACGATGCTTCTCATCAACACAGCGGATTGCTCTTAAATTCCTCGAAGAAAACGAAGTTGCTTGTTATTATATCTATATCTCTTATCAAATGTCGTAGATAAGTTCACTGTGATCATTAATATCAGTAGACCTATTGATCTAAATGAAGAATTTGTTTGGGTTCAGTTTTTTCCTCAAAATTACACTGACACCACTTGACATAATACTAACATGGCGACTGGTGGCATCAATGAATAGAGGAATTTCAGATATTTTGCTTGCAGCTTCTGGAACCAGAATGACTTTCACCACCTCTTTGCATACAGGCATTAATAATGTTTCAGCTCTTGTGTGTGGTATTACTGCTTTCATGGTAAGTTCAGTAACTTCATAACTAGCTTCCTGGACCTTTTCTGATGTTCATACTGATGAAACAATAAACTTCATCTGTTTCTATCTTGTTGCAATCAGCAAAGAAAATAAGTTATATCCTTGTAAGCCCAAGAAACATGTTTTAATGTGAAAATGTCTTCAGCTTGCTTGGAACCACAGCAATATTACAAAGTTTTTTCCATACACAAGATATTCAAAGCCTGAACAAGTTGCACTGCCACGCCAGAAAAAACAGAAAGACAAGCAATTATCATTATACTTTTTTTTCCCTTGGCACTACAGCCCCAGTGGGCCTAGGCCTACCTCCATGAACTTCTCCGTTCACTTCGGTTTTTCTAGATCTTAGACATACAGTAGGACTCCTTCGGGGGGTGATCAGCTCGTCGCAAGCCCTCTACATGTACACAAACACAGAAAAACACACACACACAAACTAAACATCCATGCCCTAGACCGCTCGGCTACCATGACTGGCCTATCCTTATACTGCCAAACATTATTTCTGGTTTTCCTTTTCATGGCTCATTACTTCCACTTTCAGTAGAGGCCCTACTTAGTGAAACATATCTTATATTGTATTTGTCCATGATGCGAACTGATGCTTGAATGGGCAATGAGATAAATTAAAATTATAAATATCTGACCACCACTTTTCAGTTTTCTCAAACCAGCACATACAGCTGTGAGAAAGCTTAAAAACTGTAGAGATGAATTGAGGCACAAATTCACAACAGTGAAATTATGTAGTGGCACTACTGCTGTAAGCAACAGATTGTTATCGTCATGCCCAGCTGGAAATACTTCAAAGGACCCATCACAGAATCACAATCCAACTAGGCTTTAACTGACATGTAGGTCCTATATTAGTAAAAATGGAAATGATGTGGTATACAGAAGCGTACGTCACACTAAAGATGAAGAACCATAGAGGCAAATATGAAAACAAATTCATAAGCAAACAAAACGATTTGCTAGGAGAGAGGTATTGTGCCACCCTTGAAGTTTTAATTGCAAGGTCACAGACCTAGCCTACAATAAACTAGCAGCAAATGCCTATGAAAAGCCTCCTTGAATGACATGCAAAGAATCACAGACCAACACACGAGGCCTTACATATACTATCAGAAAACAGTGTTGGGTGAAGATGAGCAAGAGCAGGTACTTCAAACATGAAGGACTTGTCATAAATGTATAATCCAACAACATAACAAATTGTTCATGTATCAGTAATAACAGAAGTGGATGCACAGTCAACACAAAAATGTAAAAGCCAAAAACTGGAACAAATGATTAACATTTCAGATTCAATAACTTCATATGGGACAGAAATTTATATTTCACTGGAAATGATAGCCTGATATCACATGCTAGTGTATGTGGTAAACTAATTATCGCTGTAAACATGACAAATGTGTATTTTGTTGGTGAATGGGGAAGGTGGTAGTAATAAGAGACAAGTGGTCATTCACATCATCCTCTATAAACTCAAAATTTCCTTCAAAAGTGTTCCCAGCATGTGTTACTTCTGTAACCAAAGTTCTAATCAAATTGTTGCCAGAACACCTTCAAATGCCTCTAGTTGATTACTGAACCACTTCTGGACCCATGTTTATTTAAACCATTTTCACTGTTTGGGCTACAGTACTCACTCACGCTCCGATTTTCTGTTCTAACTTCTGGGACACTCTATATATACCTTATAACAAACAGAAGGAGGCTAAAAAGTGCAGTCAACAAGAATTGCTTCTCTTGCTTCTCTCAGACCACTGTGGTTGTGAAGCACTGTGGTTCTTTATAGCCACACTTAAACAACTTCTTACCTGTCCCCATCCCTGTGTTCCAGTGCCATAAGCCTGGTTGTTGTAATACTGCTGAGTCCAATTGGCATAACCGCCTCCGTTCCCATAACCTTGTTGGCCATACCCCTGTTGAGGATAGTTTTGTCCATAGTTGGCTTGCTGGCCATATCCTAAGAGAAGTAAAACTCATTCTTAATGCATAATAATTTACTATAGCTTCATATAATTAATCTTCAGCTGGGAAAGCATAGTCGGTATAGCGAATGACTATGGGCTGGATGATGGAAGGGTCGCAGTTCAAATCCAGGTAGGGTCAAGAATTTTCTCTTCTCCATGTCGTCCATACCGGCTTTGTGGTCCACCCAGCCTTCTATATAATGGGTACTGGGGGCCCTTTGCTTGGGTGTAAAGTGGCCGGGGTGTGAAGATGACCACTCACCGCCAACTAAGGCTGAGGTCAAGAAAATGTGGCTCTATACATCAACTCCCCATATGACTTCATCGCATAGTCCTTAATTAGTTAAGTATAGGGACAACTTTACCTTTTTTTATAATAATGCAAATGCTGCCAAATGGGCCTAGACCTGTTTCCATAACATTCATTGATGATGAAGAAAGCAGTCTTCTGGGATTTGGCGCCGTGTATATGTGTGCCAAAACCCAGAAGACCGCTTTCTTCATAGTCACCGCCGTGAAAGCCTCAAATCTTACATCTATTGATGATGCCTTACAAAAATTTGCAGCAGATGCACATCTTCCCACCTGCAACTTTACTGCCTTCTGCAACAGCCTACAACTGAACAAGGGTTGCTTTCTTCTATGGGAAAGATATTGTGTCAATGTTTAGTGACTTCCACTCAGTAATACGCAAGTGTATGATTGAGAATTCAACGATAAATTTCATAATATCGGAAACGGGGCTCCAATTCTTACTACTAAACAATCCCTTATCACATGCAATTTCCACACATTGAACGAACAGGTGATGAATGTTTTTGCTCAACCTTCATGTTAAATTCAGCATAGGGTACAAACCTCCCTGCTAAGTTCATCTTTATTACATTAAAGCCTATGTATGAATTTGAAATAAAAAAAATGTTAACACAAATTATCAAGACCTGGACAAACTGATGAACATAATTTCACATTCAGAGCATCAAATTCTGTGAATTTACAGCCAAAAATTCTACCAACATGAATAAACAACTGTCCTAGCAAGTAAAATTAGTTCAAATGAAACCAGATTAATCTTTCTACGACAAGAATATTGCATTCATAATTCCACACAGTTCTTCATGATCCAAAAATGGTGACAAAATGCCAAGGTCTGGCTTCTCCTACCAATAAATTATATTCTGATATTGTTAAAGAGAATAAAATAAGTCTGACCTAAAGCATCAAAACTATCCCCCCCCCCAAAGCTTTTTATAACAAAAGCACTTCACCTTTCCAACCCTGTTGTTGGTAGTTCTGCTGTGTCCAGCCTTGTTGGTTGTAGCCCTGGGGTCCCCAGTTTCCACCACCAGTACCTCCCCAGTTGCCACCGCCACCACTGCCGCCACCACTACTGCCACCGCCACCTCCGCTGCCACTGCCACCACCACCTCCTCCGCCTCCCTGATTGTAACCTCCCCAGTTTCCCTTTAACAACATTTTTGCAATATGTTTTAACCTCAAACCACTTTCAGTATCCTTTATGGCTTGCATACCACTGATGTGATACACGTGCTCTTCTAGGAATGAATGAGCTAAGAAACAGATATCTTCACAAAAAAGCAAAAATCATACATAAATAAAAATAGCTCATTAAAGAAAAAAATGTATCATTCAATACATTTACTTGTAAGTATAAGAAATCATAACTATATAAACTTCAACAAACATGTGGAGAGATGACATAATGCTTAGCAACCTTTCACTATCATTACAGAATTCTGAATACAGAGTAAACAGGACACTAGAAAATTAGCCTGTATCAGGGTGACAGTTAAGAAGGGTGCAAATATGCATCTTTCTAAAGATAACAATGTCTATTAATAATTCAAAAGGTGCTTTAGTAGAAAATCAAAAGAATGGATAAGAACAGATTAATGATATTCTGCCACTGCTGATTCCTTCTGGTCAATATGGCACACACAAATAATGTACGTAAGACTTTCATTTTAAACTAAGAAACAGGAAGCAAAATTCAATTATCAACTTAGAGAATGCAAAACAGACATCAACTATAACAACTTGATTATGATCTTGTAAGAGAATGGACTGCCAATAAAGAGAATGATATTTGAGGTCTAACCAGTTTATACGCCTGTCTCATTTTGTGACAGAAAAGATGAAAACAAAATAAACAAGACCTCAACAATCTTTCACAGCCCACTAAAATGTCATGTAAAATGTGTTCAAATGCGCACAAAGACTGAAGCTGTTTAAAAAAAGTTTAATAATTTATCACCCCTGATCGGAATAATTCAACTAAAATGACTTAATACAATTCTATACTCTGAAATATAAAGAGGTTATAATGTTCTTGGATGAACTCAATTTGAATACCCATACCTTTCCTCCAGACTGCTGATTACGACTGCCTCCTGAAGGGCGGTTACGATCAAAGCCTCTATTGCCATGGGAGTCACCTACCCGACCACCACCACCACCACTGCCGCCGCGACCTCCTCTCCATCCGCCACCACCCCCTCCACTACCACCTCCTCCTGTTCCACCACTTCGGAAACCACTATGAGGCTGATTTCTAGAATGAAGAAGAAAACAGAACACAATTTTCTTTTCATGCATCCTGTTATTATATACAGTTGCAATCTGTATTCCCAACAGAACAGAAAAAATACACTGTTACGATCAGCCACCAGCCAAACAATTAATGTAAATAATACTACATCTATGTAAGTTTTGAGGTTTTCACGGCGATGACTATGAAGAAAGTCGTCTCCTGGGTTTAGGCGCCGTGTATTCTTCGTTTTGGCCTATGTTTCGGAGGAACGTGAATTCCAATGAATTCCAAGCCATTCACCTGCTCTGAAGATGGAGGCGATACGTTCCTTAGAAACGTCGGCCAAAACGAAGAATACACGGCACCTAAACCCAGAAGACGACATTCTTAATATTACATCTATACCACGGGCCTCCAAGCAGTTTACTATATGTATACAAGTGTAGAATATACCATTATGTCTGTGGGAATATAACAAAGTTGCAACAACTGACTTCATGATATGCAATATCACATGAAGAGTTTTTAACCATAATTTACTCCATAACTTTCGTTTTATAATAAATTTATAATTCATTGTATTTTTATTTTTATACCATGTATTTTATAATGTAAGAGTTATCAAGTATCCAGCTTTACTGTCACAATGAAATGCAGTTCAATAGTTGTGAATATAGTAATCACGTGTTTGCCTGATGATAGCTTTAAAAGCTGAAACATGTAGCTAAGGTAATTTTAACCTTGACCATTATGTTTTTGTGTTACGACGGACTCCAATAAAGAACTGTATAACATAACACGCTTTAAGAATCAATCAGTATGCTGTGCCCAAGAGTAAACAGTGAAAGAACGGGACATACATGCCTATTTTGTAATCCTTTACTGACGAATGCTTATTTTATACCTTATGAAGAACAGGATTTCCAATTCCATCATGATTCTCTCCAGGCTTTCAAAAGTAGCTTTGGTCTCAATGACAAACACATCTTTTTGTGGTCAACAGACAATTTATTACCACTGAACAAGGAAATCCAGACCATATGCTCTGCCTTAAAACTTAAGACATATACATTAACATTCACAAAAATAATTCATCTTTCTGCAGCTCCTCTACTGAATGCATTTCGAGTCACAGATATAACTGCCTGAAATACCGAGGGGACAAATATCTCTGCACTCCTGACACATTTCCAAACTCCTCTGCATACAACATATTGTGACTGACTCATGAAAAACCTGGTATGTGACAACATTCATGACTATTATCAATACTTTCCCACTGCATAAAATTATTCCTCAACACCTTTCTGGTTCAGAGAAATTTTACAACTAAGGCCCTACAATCAACAAGATTTCAACTGAAACAATTTCAATGAATATGGATGCTAAAGAAAGTTCTGGAAAGACAGCTAGATGCTTAACTTGATGTGATATCAATACACTCCAGGTGGTGCTCCAAATCTATATGAACCATATGAATTACTTTCAGTAAAAGTGCACACTGCAATTCTAACTTCGCTTATCATCCATTCCCATGATAGTGGCACCATATTCATCTTTTTCTGTCCTTGCACTGATACAGAAATACTTTGGTGGCAGTAAATCAATATGCTTCCATCACTCAGACCTATGTCTGAACCCATCCAGGCATCTTAAGCAAGCACCCCTTGACATACGTTGATATGACATGATACTTGGTACATTTGGTCAAAAATTGCTATCCAAGGCCTTCATACAAAAGAGCATGCACAAATCATACATCTGTTACCTGTAAGCTTATTCTCAACTGGAGAAATGTTGCCTTGGCAACTACTATTTCAATTTCTGTTGATCTGTCTTATTCTTATCTTTCCTCGAACTTACACACCTAATTGCACATATATTTCTGAGCACTGTACCTTAGTGAGTATACGCACTTGAAACAGGAAGATGCTATTTGTGCTATGTCAAATGCATGATGCTTGAAGCTCTATCAAAAATGTTATGAACACGAACACAGACAGACAAAAACAACGAACACTGAATAAAGATAATCACAATAAAGGAAATAAATACAGAACAGTTCCTGCTCAAAATGTAGTGCTATTATGTTACTGGAAGCATTTCAAATGATCACGTTAACAAAATCATTTAACCTTTATAATTCTTATGTAGGACTTTCAGAACAAATGTACATGTTACATGTTCTGTGCATTTGGTACAAGAGTTCTATCTACAACTTAATACTGTAGCTGTTCATACGGCGAGTCTGTTCCATTCATAATGTATGACACGTAGCCGCTCGCTGACCGTACAGTTGCCACGACTGTTGCTTGAGCTTGGTTCTTCGTCTCAGGGATACGGGTGCTTCAGATATGGGAGTGGAACACACTTCAGAGTTAATAAATCATGGGGTCTCCAGAACACCCCTTGTATTATTGTTTACATTAATATTGCTTAGTGCGATATTACATAATACACTAGTCCTCCAAGCTAGCCCTTCCATCTCTCTTAACTTCTGGCACTGGCCACACCAGTTCGCTCCCAGCTCGCTGACTGTACACACTCGCTAACCCCAACTGTCTCTCATTTCTCTCTTCAGCGTTTTCTTTTCAACTACTGTCCACCTCTGCTCCCTATCACTGACTGTACTCCCATTCTCTGTTCAGCGGCTTCATTCAACTACTCTACACCTCTGCTCGCTGTCACGAACTGTAATACCATTATCTCTTCTGCGGCTCTTTTCAACTGCTGTATACCACCATTCCCAATCACTCATCGACTGTCTCTTTCATACAAGTTCCACAGTGGCAATAAAATAAAACAAAAATAATGAAGGATAGCTGTCTTATCATAATTCCTTTTAGATCACCAAAGGCACACTAGCAGGGAATCAAGACCCCTCAGTGCCAGTCCCGTACAATGTCAACCCGAGGATTTATAACTAGCAGCGAACTGGCCACGCAAAAGACAATAGTGACACCCTCAGCCTAAGGATGACAAGCTGGTTTACGACTACACAGTCCAGGGATGGCATCTCGCTAGAAGAGCAGCTACCATGGGGAGATAAGGCACAAACAGGTCATAGCCCAATTACATAATTTCCACTAAGGTACGTATGGATACAGACAGTATTAATCAATATACGAAAAAAACAGAATATGAGTATAAACACTAAACGGAAGGAAGCATTCAAAATAAAAAATTTCTGTCAGTATAACAAAAATGTATCATCCAAAGGTGGGAGAAAAGGCAATCCCCAAAACTCTGCATGGAAGCAGAAGTAGTCACTATTCAACCAGGATGTGGTTGCCCTATTTGTCAATATTACACTACACAGTAGCTATAGCGTATCACTTGCACATCACCTTAGAAGCCCTGGCCACCATACACACCAGCATGACTATGCTGGAAACTTTACACCGCTGGAGCGGTCTCTATTGTGTCCATGCTAGTGGCAGGAAACAAGCAGAAACTGACAGAAAAGTTACATTTGTGTATATACAGTACAGTACAGTACAGTACACAATCAGTATATAATTATGTACCTGTCTCTCCAGCCACCACCTCCACCCCCACCTCCTCCTCCTCTTGGGAGCCAGCCACCACTGCGGTTCCTGTTATCTGGTCCACCTATTGTTAAAACATTGCAGTAACAATGAGACGAAAGTTTTCCAACACACAAAGTGGATTTCAACAGGAGGGTACAGACAAAATCACACTCCACACATAGCTCACTCTGAGAAGCGAAGCTGTTAGAAGTGCCAGTGATAACAGCAACATTTCCACATCTATGAGAGCTGGGATAGCTCAGTCAGAAAAGTGACAGGCTATGATTGGGGTCTGATTCCCAAAAGTGGAAACAGATTATACTCTTCTCCACATCATGAACACGGGCTCTGGAGCCCACTTACCCTCCTATCCAATTATAGTTCTGGGGAGTCTTTCCCCCCACAGTAAAGTGGCAGGTGAGTGAAGCTGTGAGGCTGACCACTCACATCCATCTAGTACTGATGTTGAGAATGGTGGAGCTATACCTCCACTTTCACATACGTATTCAAGGCATAGTGCTTCATTAACCTTTATCGGCCGGGCCATTTAAATTCTGGTAATGGCCGCGGGCCGGAGTTAATTTAAATGCCCTCCATTGTAGAGTAATAAAAACTGTAATCATGTTACTGAAAATGCTGTGATTTCTACAATTTTTGTGATAAACGAACGAAATAAACGCTAATTTTATCTAGAAAGAATATAGAATCAGATATTGTAATTTACAGATTTTAGAACCTGTAAAAATTGTTACATTGATTCCAAAAAAATTTTTCCTCAATTTTAAGTGTCTGTCCACAAAAATGCATAAAGCTTCTGCACAATACGTTTCTGCAGTATAAATGCATGGTGCTGACTCACTGTCTGTGTTTATCTGGCAACAGGAGAGGATGTTTACCTGTCAGCTTCTTGTATACACGAGTGTGGGCAGTTCTTATCCTTATGAAACTATGCCTGTTTATACACATATGTCAGGCTATCCACACAGAGGCACTCTTCTTGGAATATCCCCCCAGTGCCCCTTGTGTTCTTGTCCCTTCAGAATGGATTGTACCGCATTCTGAATGGTGTAATTTACGAGCGGCCTCTCAATTTCGGCTTCTTCAATGCGAAATGGGGCCATGGTGCATAGTTGAAATTGCGATGTTTTATAAACGTTAGGAATAGAGGAGACCACTCGCCATCACTGGCCTACTTCCTGCTAATATGAGACTAATGTTGCGTGTGTGAGCTTCACATGGAAAACAGAGTCAATTACAGACAAAGTGCATGAATTGCGACGTCGGACTCTGCATTCAGTGACATGCAACATTCAGTCAGATGACGCAGGAGGGAAGACAGTCTACTTATAAAGCGGCTGTCCAAAAATAATGTAAGTAAAACAAGAATTTCTATCTTAAAATTAGATTTTAAAACACTGTGTGCATGCGTGGACTGCGAGTCACCATACGGTGTCTTTCGGCCACTCAGCTTTACTTTAAATGTCTCCATATGGTGTCTTTCAGCTCATAAAGGTTAATTAAGCACAGGGACAAATTTACCTAAAATGTTAACACTGAAAAGAGCACTCATGCTTTGAATTATTATACCTCATGACATAATTTCCATACAGTAATTCTACAACAGAACATATATAAGACAAACAATGAACACAATAATTCTACTATTATACCTCTTGGTCTGTATCCTCCTCGGAATGAGGACCTGTCCCTTCCATCACGGTTGTCATTTCGATGGCGTTTCTGTGACTGTCCATACCCCGCATCTCGCCCTTCTTTGTTGTACTTGTCTACCAAGAGGTGGGAATCTGCCTCCGACAGTTCAATGTATAATACTTCGTTGAATATGTCACCCACCTCTGGCAGCATGAAATTGGCTGCAACAGCACAATTGCTGAATAAACATCACTTAATGTATTTCAAAACACACATTCTTAGATTCTTGAAGCATATAATCACTGATAAAGGTAGTACAAAATTAGACTTAAAACCAGATGCTTTAATATTTATGATATAAGAATGAGTATCTAGAACTGAAGCAGCTTTTCAATGCACAGTGCAACGATTTAACCATTATCTTTCTTCTTGTTTTTCGCACATTTAGAAATTTGAAATATTAGTTTCTTAGTGTGTAAAACCAGGAAGAGCAGCTTGTATGTGAATGTGCACATTTTAAGAACTTGGACTGTCTGATTTTGGATTTCACGTTAGTCACAGTAACGCTCATCTGGTCACAGAACAGATAAGGTAACTCTGCCAGAGAGGTTGGATCCAGTGGACGTTCAAAAACCATGCTCAAGCAGATGCCATGGATGCTAGACACATGAGTGCGATTCTGACATCACTGAGTACTCTTGCAAGTACACGGTGCCCCAACTGAGATGATCAGCGCAGGGAGGTTGCAATTATAGAAAGGGTTACAAAATTATGATTATTAATGAGGACCAAATTAATGAAAGATGTACAGTAGGGTGGGGTGGAAATACTGTAAATTAAAAGCAGTGTGGCCCCATAACCATGACCTTGTTATTCGAAACCTTATAACATACCGATGTGTAACTCCTGCAGACAATATTAAAATAGATCAAATTAATGGTCTGGTGGCAGTAACCATGCAGAGAAACTACACACTTGTTTGTGCAATGGTTCACTGGGATAGTAAGCAGTAGCACCACTGATATTCGATCTCTCCCTGCTTGCTGTTAAGAAGTGATGGTAGTGATGCCATAACACACAGTACACAAACATATCATAATTATGTAGAGTATTATCTTATGGGATATAACACCGTACAGTCCGCTGAAAACCAACTGATGTTTCAGAGGAATATATTGCCTCCATCTTCAGGGTAGAAGAATAAGCCAAGAAAGATAGTAGCATGAAAGCAGACTTTCAACAGACTACATGGCGTTATATCCCAAAATATAGTACAATTCATAACCACCGGTGTGAGACCTCAGTTCCTACATATCACAATTAATCTGCTACAACAAACTGTGTCAAAATGGATATAGAATGTGACTATTATAATGTGAATCTATTACGGATGCAGGAAAAATGTGCATATTTCATCATCATAAATTAATAACTCCAATATCTTCAGCTAGTTTCATAATACATTCCATATGAATTATATATCATTCAAGAATCCAAGTGTGTGTGTGATTTAGCCCATGATCCAAAATCACTGTTCAATATGGACAACAGAAACTGCAAACTAAAGAGTGAAATTATAAACAAGCAGTGCTGTAAGTGAGCCACAATGAAGTGCAGGAATTAACGACTGTTCCTTGTATATAGCTTAACATCAGCCTGAAACATTTTTGAAAAGTCACTGTTCCTGACAGTGGAATTTTAGTTTACTACAAAATGAGTTTTAAACAAGGAGAAACCAGGGCTGCCTCTATATCACTTCATTTTATTTACAGGCACTAATAAAAATAATGCATCTAAATTATGTTTACAGGGATAAAACTTAACTGAGCTGACAATACTGATGAATATATAAATATTTCTTACTATGAATTAACACTTCTTAAGCACTAATATGGGATTAACATGTAGTTATGTATATAACATATGTTGTACAACATATTCTCTACTTATAAATGACAAGTGTAATTATATTAAATAAATATTAATGCAGCTGCATTCATGTCATTTAATTATACATGGTTTATTTCTTATGCAGTCAGACATTACGTGGAAAATGAACATGAATACATGAAAGTACGATACTGTATAAGACTATTACAAAATTAATGTCTACTATAACGCAGTGAATCTAACCTTGTTAAAGTGACTGGATATCATAATGAACACAAACAACAGCATCTGTACGTAAAACTAAGAGCTACAAAACTGGTATTTATTTCAGTGAACACTCCAATAATAACTGTAAATAATATAACTCCTAAACTTCACAGTCAACTGGTGGCTGAAACTATAACTGTACCAAACTGTACGTTAAAATCCGGCTTAATATAAAAATTAATAAGTATATATTCTGAAATAGGTGACAAAAAATCCTTGGTATTTTTTAGCGTCTCAAATACAACTACTCAGAAAAGTGGTACAGATATGTCCAAAAATCTACAAATATATCATGTGTAATAATGGATTCATTTAATTGAAACTGTACTTCCACTTTCACGTTGGAAAGCAGCATATATTGTAAATTTACAAAAAAGATAACATTCACCTGTAACAACCAAGCAAACTGATTGAAGTGGTAATACTTCTGACATATTCAGAAAGTGCTTGGTTTGAATGTGGGACAGGAAACTACCCTAATGTATTTATTGTTGTTTTCTTCTCCTTCCAAGCAAACAGTACCTTAAATCAGGCCACAACCACTTCCTTCCACATCCTTTCCAAATTACTATTCACCTTCACTTATCATTCAACACACTACAGCCTGAGTTAGTGACAGTGTTATTAAATAAACTACAAAGAAAGATGACAGATATATATTGGACACATGGTATATGATATCTGACACTTGGCCCTGGTACCTCCTTGCACATATTTGTTTGCACATTTAACATCTACTGTGCAGATTGAGAATTATTTATGCAGTATGTATTCATTGGTCTTAAAATTTTCAATACACTTTCAGCACTGACCGCCGGGGGGGGGGGCAAAACAATCAGAGAATGTCAAAGCATACAGTGTTCAACCAAGTACAAGTGAAATGTACAGGAGTTACTAGGATGGGGACAGAAACAAGTATGACTGAAAAGAATGGTAATACAATATACTAGGCTGCCTTAATGCACAACTACTAGGTATATATGTAAGAGAAAAGAGCAAAATTCAACCTGGCCTTTGCATGAAGTATTACGGAAGACTGGTCCATTTAGTTACCTTTCATCTCTAGGACAGCAGAGTCTGGAACATCTTTGCCTTCCAGCTTCTCCCGTTTTTCAACACGCCTCTTGAACTCCTCGTCTGTTGGTACAATTACTACTGCTCGCCGTATGAAGCCCTCAAAACCCCTCATTTTGCGTCTTTGGGCCGATGGATAGACATTGGTCTGTGTAATGTATAGGGTTGCAGACATGATTAAGATTCCATGCTGGGGTCACCAGGACCCCATCTTCATATCCTTCATATACATTGTTAGCATCAACTCTGTAATGACAAGGGCTCAATACATGGGTTTAGTAGCTGGTAAGTGTGTCTCCCTTCCCACCCCATCTACCCGATACTCACCTCTAAGTTGAAACATCCAGAAGCCTGTCTTGGGAACAAATGTGCATGTTACAATTCTTATTCTACTAGTTAAATTCTGTCTGATACAGAATAATTAGTTTGGCTTTCTCCACATCTGGATTCTTGCTTCAAATATAGTTTCTCAACTATCTCAAATGTCTTCACTGACTGACAATGTACACTAATCCTTATATCACAGATCTGTGCAACCTATGCTATTTTTCTTCTATAATATTGTCCTGTTATGTAAAAATACACTCTCTGATTCTAAGTACCTACTCGTTTGTGTAGCAGTGCCTACACATTACCTAGCACTTACACAGCATGTTCATGGCGCCAAATTCAACTTGTTCTCATAACATGGTCACTATAGCACTGGGAAAATAATCCTGTGTTTACACCACCAAAGTTCCACTTCTTGGTCCCATGTCTAAGTATAAGGTTTGACATAAACTCCACACTCTGAGGCTTTATAATTATCATAACCTCAGTATAGATATACAAAATTAGAATAATCTGCACATTTCTGAAATCTAGTATCTACATAGTACTCCTCTCACACAGTGCCATTCAATATCGTTCTGCAGTAAATTTATTACTTCTAAACTGGTGCTGCATATCTGTGCTTTGGATGAAGGAAATCTAGCGTTTACATAAAGTAATACTAGAACTTACCTTTCAATCTACAGTTAATTCCCATATAGCCTGATGTTCCTTTTGAAAGTAAGTGGAACTTACCTCAGTTTATTTGCTGACTTACCTTGTCATCTTAGTGTATGGATCCAACTTTCTACTTACCACAATGTGTGACCTCCTTGGAACTGAAAATTAAGCTGCACAGTGATTAAACACTCACCTTTCCTTAAAACACCAACACATTTTCAAAACCGGTACAAGTCAAACAATATTTTGATACAACCTAGCATGAGCACGAAGAGGCATGCTTTCGAACACTGTACTTCTCAACAATACACTGTTTTACAGATACGAGAAAAACCACTCAAAAGGGGGTTGCAGCTTTTAAATAAACTGCAATACTCGACCCATTCTGACTCTAGAGCTCAACTGCTACAACACCAATACACCTGCCTTTAAATTTGGATATCTTCCTATGCACACATGCACAAAACCCCTTAAAATTTTCTATCACTCTTTAAATACACACTATTTAAGCAAGTAATTAACAACGAAACATACACAAAACCCCAGATATATGACTACACAGTTCCTACCAATCTCCTATAACCACTATAATGATCTACAGAATGTATTATGCATCTCATGTAAGAACTTAAATAGACACACGTATTATCACGTGTTATTAGAATACAAAATTTACTATTCAGAAAACAAATACAGTACCTTACTTGGTGTCAGTTAACAAATATGCAGTAAAATAACTGCTGAAATGTGTAACACAAATTAATTTCAGAGGCCATACATACAAAAGAAAACACTTTCAGTGGCATAATACCAATTTAGCTGTTGACTTTACAATCAACATATCCCGTATAATTTGTCTAAAAGTGAGGTTAAAATACTTTAATCATAATCCTGCCTGCTTACTAACATTAAAATGCAGAGTGGTCACTTTTGGAAAGAGATGATTACAGGGCAAACATACTTATTACTACCTCTCATGCCTCTCAGGAAAGCCAAAGAGCTGTCCCAAAACAATTACTGTATGAACTCAAAATGACACAACTTTAAGCCAATCATTTACAATTTACAATTTCTAGAAATATCACTACAAGGACCACTACTTTATATTATTTTCTGGGTTGTGATAAAAATTATTTAAAACAAGAAAATATGCAGGAATATAACGACAAAGAAGAAACAGAATAAATGAGGATAGTAGAAATTAGGTGGAACAGTACCAATACAAGAAGAAGTGTACTATTACAAAGCATACTGTGTAGAGGATTAAACGGATAACACAAAGTACAGAGTTCACTATGAACCACATGCCCTTCTGCTGACATACGCTATGCACTCCCTGAAGTCAAGAGTGAAGTCACTGTTTGCACATGCCATCAGAATTCATATTTTACAAACTATGAGAGCTGGAAGTCTCAAAATTACACACACATGATCTGAATAAATTTTGTACACAGGAGCCATCATCACAATAATTGCTGAAATAGCAACGGCAACTTCGGGAAAGATGAAAATGAAAAGAAAAAATCATACAACTTTTTTAATGGCAGATGATTCTTGGCACCTTAAGCACAAAACTGCAGATATTCAGATTTATTGGCCACATTCTGCATTGCTGTGTCAGCACAGTCATGGTCTTCTAGTTGGTTGTGCATTGTGTTACTGTCTCTAGAATATCCCCTTATTTAGAGCCGGCCACTTATGATGTTGTAACTCTCTCCACTGTTGTGCACAAACCTCTGCCATGTCTAACAGCTCTTAAATTATTTTTAAACATCAACTACAGCAAGGTCATTGTTAGCTAGAAGACAGCAAGTTCCAGTTACCCCTTGTGCATGTGATCATTCTATCATTCTCATTATCTCTGGTTCTGACAGCTCTCGAACAATGACATCTGAATGGGTAAGAATCAGAATGTCTGCATCTGAGGGGTGTATGGAAGGGTGGAGGCGGGGATGAGGTCTGCCCTTCCTACTGTGGAGCCTAATGGCTGATGGGCTCCTTGTACAGTTAAACAGAAAAGGTCTTTTACACACAAGGCTATACTGATGACTTCCCCGTATTGTTAATGAAAATATCCAAGTAATGTCTATCAATTCCATAATAAGGCAGAACTTGTGCTCTTCGCTGAAACGAAAAGGGCACAAGGGTTTTACAACCTACTCTACTAAACAAACTGCCATGTATTACCAGGTCAGTGAAATATCTAGGGGTTACCCTGGACTTAAGGTGACTTGGAGGGACCATGTGAAATTAAGAATCAGTAAAGCTCATTCTTCCTTTTACCTATGTTGCAGATGCCTTAGCAATACCTGAGGTCTTATGGTAGCCAAAAACTGGCCTGGTCTTATTTGAGCTGATCTTGGTCACCTGATAAAGTTGATATATGTTAAGTGTTACTGGATATGACCCCCACGGCAGTTCTTGAGGTTCTCCTTTGACTTACAGGCTCTAAGATTTGGGGTCAGGATAATGTGATACCAATGACTGATTCCTGGGTGCACCAATATGGACCAAAACGAAATTCATCTGTTTGCTGTTTAGTCTAGATCCCTGATACAGCATTAGCATTGAAATTTACTTCTGCAGACATGATACATGGACAGACAGACGTATGAGTTTGTTCATGCACTTTGTGCAGGGAACATACAAGTGGTAGGACTACATTACTATATGATCATTCTATAAGAGAAATGGAACGAGCATATACATTCTGTAGAAAGATGGATAGATATCCATATAAAAAAGAACCTTTAAATCCCTTAATAAATTTAATAGCCCTAATCCCAAATATAAACTATTTGGCATGTCATGCGTCAGTCATACCTGCCTGCCAGAGTGGAATGAAAGCCATTTTTAAACATGAGTCTGATGATTTTAGCTAGATAAAATAAAAACAAAGCAACAATTACCTGATCCAGTATGTAATTCCTCCTGCGACGAGATGCAACCTCTAGCAGTTTCACCAAACATTTTGTGCACTTGTCAATAAGTACATCCCAGCGGCCAGCGTAGTTCCTCTTCCTTGGCAGGCCCATCATCTAAAACATGTCATATACACATGACATAATTTTCATACGTGCATCATTTGTTTTAATTCATAATGAAAATATTTAAATATCGAACTGCCGATGTTCTGAAATGCAGATAAATATCAAACTTCTATCTAAGCAACATCTCAAGGTCACAAACAATGACATCTTGATCCAGACGACAACCCACTTGAAATCAACAATTGAAATCTGCATTTAAATGAGAATGTACATCCCACACCCACACTCAAAAACTGATAACATTAAAACTTGAAACAATAATACTCAGCATGACAAATAAACAAACTATAAAAATTATACGAAAGCAAAAGCAACTACATATCTTAAAAGAAAAATGAAAATAGAAAAGAAAATATAAAAAACAGGCTGAAATTTAATTTAAAATAAGTTCATACTTAAACAAACAACAACCAAATCACTGAATATGATTGATCATAGTACATGACATAACAAAATATTGGATAACAGCCTAAAATAGTGTAACTTTCATCCTGTGTTCTTGCAGAATACATTTTTTTTCCCTTTCCACTACTGTACTAGGTAATAATATATATAAAAGCAATATATCTTATGTATAAGTTTAACGTTTTCCTGTATCTTACAATTTTTGAACAATGACTGCACTTTACATAAATAAGATATATAGAAGTTTTAAAATACTATACAAAACCTGATATTCACCTTCCACATATCTAGTACAGGGCCCCTGAATACTGAACGCATACTATAAGAGAAATCTGGCACCAATGGAAATGATTCATCTGTAGCTCTATAGCTTCCAGTAATATACACAACCAGAGAATTTAAAAGAAGGCATTTAACATCTAACAGCCTTATCAGCTGCAGTCTTTCCACTCATCTCCACTTTCTTTCTAAACAGAACGTAAGTTCCTCATTCCAGACTTCAGCTGAAATTACACTCCAGTCATCATCAGCTACTGCTCGTCATAAGTGAAGGGTCTGCTCATGCTAAAGCTACATCTTGCTTACAAGAAATAAAGTTGTGTTCTTTCCAGAATACTGTACTAGTCTTCTTCAAACCCCATATTTATGCATCATCAATTCTCTCAAGTCCTACTATCAAAAGCACCTACTGAGAGAAGCAGAATATATGACTGGCAGAGACCTCCTTCATGATGCTACATCACTGGGATCAAATACCCTTAGCCTCAGAGCAGAAGGCAGATATTTATTAAAAGCTTCCATAATAGAAGGTGTTTCTGTTTGATGTTCCCATCGATGACACCATGATGGATGACAGGGAAGATTCTACACCTGGAGAAGCAGCCCCATTTTACATCACTGGGATCAAATATCCTTAGCCTCAGAGCAGAAGGCAGATATTTATTAAAAGCTTCCATAATAGAAGGTGTTTCTGTTTGATGTTCCCATCGATGACACCATGATGGACGACAGGGAAGATTCTACACCTGGAGAAGCAGCCCCATTTTACACCGCACAGGAGGCTGGGTGGCTCTCAAGAGCCAGTCTAGACAATATGGGAAAGAAATCTTTTGCCACCACCAAGAATCAAATCCTGATTCTTTGGTCGTTCAGCCAAACATGGAGACAGTACGACTGAAATCAATTGGATTGAATTTAGGTTTTAACAGCATCCAAACTAATAAACCTATTTTTGCAAAGCCAATGATATTACATAGAAATAAATTACTTTTCTTCTTCATCTGGCATACTTCTTAATCTAGTTTGCTGAGGTACTTATAGCGATCTGAAACATTTAAACAGTACGGACCGAATTCTGTCAGAAATGATGCAATCATGTTGTAAAACATTACGCTCAGTGATTCACAAATTAATTAATTAATTTACAATATGAAACAATTGTTAATGACCTGCCAGTGTGCCTATTTATATAAATGGCAATAAAACTGACTTCAGTAATTATAAAAAATACTACCACTTTTATAAATTTCACACAAATTTCATTGAACATTCATTTCGCTACATCAAGTTCATGAAAGATGAAATTATTAGAGACAACTGGTGATGAATCCAGTGCTGACTGTTCAACTACTGATCAAATATTCTGCATACAATGAATATTGGAGATAAAATTGCAGTACAGTGGCACAGTAGATCAGCTACTTACAAATTTCCTGAAACCAAATAAATATTAGAAGACAAGTATTCTACAGCATTCTCATTCAACATGATATAAGCTTACCCATGGAACTGCAGTACTCAAATTAAAAAGGGCTTAAATGAAACCTGTAGTAAAGTTCAAGCAGGTACACATGATGGATGCATTTTTTATTTAGAATGGTCTGACATAACTTTAACAATGCTTTTCAACTTCAGTTTATAACATGTGATTATGAAAATCATAGAAAATGGAACTGAACCGAGTATATAATACATTTCAACTTGTGGAAGACTGAAACATTAAACTTATGGATGAGAGAAGTATATATATTATTACATATATATTATTATATTTGTAAATATAATCCTTCCATAAAAAGCCGTTAAAATATAAAGTACAGCCACAAAAACATAAACTCTGTAGGCTCAACATGTAGACTGAAAGAGGTTTCCAATAACACCATCAACTGATTGACCAGGTTATTTGTTCCAAGGCTGCCGTTTTCACAAATATGTACATCATCACTGACATTAATGTGGAAATATGCTAACCTTCATTTTGTCTATCAGGTTATTCGTTCCAAGGATGTTGTATTTTTTGTCCAGATGCTTCGCATAGTACTCATTAGCCCACGTTGTCTTCCCGCAGCCAGGTAGACCACACATCATAATTATCTGCAGAAGTGAATTGAAATACACATTATCAATCACTGCTAGCAAAGAAAAAAAAAGTATTATTTTCAAATGGAAGACAGAACGTACCTCACAGTCCTCTCTTTTCTCTGGACGTTTTGGGCCACTAACTCTCTGATCTGCTGCTATGTGTGACACGAATGTGTAACCATCTGGAGGTGGAAACCAGGAGTCTTCGTTGCCAAAGTTACATCTGAATTTGGTATTTTTGCTCAGAATATGTGGGAACAGAGCCTTATCCTGGAGTTCAGAACGATTAATGCTAAATGCCACACCCTGCGTTTCTCCATTTATAGTGAATATCATTGTAACTGCATCACTGTCCAAATCCTGCAATAATAATAGCGTACAATGAATCTAAACTGTGAAAAAATTAAAGAACACATACAGGAAAGTCATACATGCAAATAAACCTCAAACAGAATATATGACACAGATTGTAATATATATTCATTGCTACAAGCTACACTAGAACCTAGAACTACCTTTTTGGACTCCTTCCCCACTACAAAGTGACATGAAGACAGGTCAAGGACTGTCATCATAATGATTGGTATATAACACTAGTTTTAAAATAATGGTTACCAGGTATGCCAAAGAGTGAACAGCATTGAGGAAATGCAGCATTCCTGAAGCCAATGTAAAGTGATGGAATAAGGAAAAGAGCAACAGCCAGCTACAAACATATGATTTTCTCTGTGGACTTGAACTGTAGTGGGGAAGTCTGTGGTTAAGTCTACAATGAACCAAAACCATTGTCTGCTGCCTATGTGTAATGTTGAGGTAGTACCTCCTTTAGAAGCCTTTCCAAATCATCTATTACATCCTATCATTGAACACTATATAGTCTGTAGTAATGAAAACACAGTAAAATAACCCACTAAAAATAAATGACACATACAATTACTTTTAATTATTTAAAAACTGTAAGATTTATGGAAAAAATGTACTGGGCATAATATCAGTATTATGCGTTTTACAGCTTTTGTTTTGAAATATTTCTTGCTCCCGGCAAATGTTTAGTGAATTAAGGGCGTGTTACACTCAAGATGCATGTAGAACACAAGCAAGTTTTCATGTACAGTATCTGTTGTTAGACTTTAACCAAAACTGGAATGTATCAATTATTTCTGCTACAACTCTCCAATATGAAATTTCATGACAATCTGTTTGCCAGTGTTTGAGTTCTCACATGCAGACAGATAAACATGGCCAAGCTAAAGCGACCTCCGTAGTCTAGGGGTAACGTTCCCACCTCATGACTCAAGGTACGTGGGTTCAAACCCGGGGGAGGTCGTGGAATTTTTAAGGGTGGAAAAATTCAAGGGAACAAGTCCTCTGGGAGGGACTTTAAGCCGTGTGTCCTGTGTCATAGATTTACGGCACGTAAAAGATCCTCATGTCTCTAGGAGACCTCTGAACAAAACTAGGCAAAGAAGAAAGTCGTCTTCTGGGTTTAGGCACCGTGTATTCTTCGTTTTGGCCGACGTTTCGGAGGAACTTAGCGCCTCCATCTTCAGAGCAGTTGAATGGCTTGGAATGCAGAGAGCAGTAGCTGTGGTGATAGGATGTGAAAGGTGCTGCTTATATACGAAGTAGGCAGGGGGGGGTGGTTAGGGAGAACGGACCAATGGGAGCAGTGGGGAGCGATTAAAACCAAATATATATATCCTATCACCACAGCTACTGCTCTCTGCATTCCAAGCCATTCAACTGCTCTGAAGATGGAGGCGCTAAGTTCCTCCGAAACGTCGGCCAAAACGAAGAATACACGGTGCCTAAACCCAGAAGACGACTTTCTTCATTGTCATCGCCGTGAAAACCTCAAAACTTACAAAATTAGGCAAAGTTTCCCGCCCAAGTAGTTTCCAATTCCTCCGGTAGATGGGGGAAGTATCGGAGACCACTGCTAGAGAGGGCTGACCTCGCTGGCAGAATGGGGCTGATAATGAGCACCAGTACTGGAAGGGCACGGCAACTAGTAGAAATTATAGGGGGATGCACAATAGATTAACCTTTAAGAGACGGCCCTTTAAATTCCAGTAATGGCTACGGGACTGATTTAATTTAAATGCCTGCGATTATAAAGCAATAAAAATTGTAATCATTTACTAAAATTGCTGTGATTTCTACAATTTTTGTGATAAATGAACTAAATAAACGCTGCTTTTTTCTAGAAAGAATATAGAATCAGATATTGTAATTTACAGACTTTATAAAATGTGTAAACAATTTTAGACTGATTTCAACAAGATAATTCCCCAATTTGTCGTCTCTCTACAAGAATTCATACAGTTCTTGCAAGTATGAATGCAGCAGATGTGGCAACACAGCAGACACTAATGTAGAAGATGTTTAGTCTTGCATTTCCTTGTCTAGTCACCTACGTTCTTTCAGCATGCAGAGATGTGAGCGAGTATCTATTCGTATATAAGAACCCTGATTGTTTATTATCGCTTGCAACTACACAACAAGCTCTCTGTTCTCACTCTGCTGGAAGTAGATTATAAGAACTTTCACGGTTAGCATCTTAAAACCACAGCCAAGCAGTGTCAAAGTTAGCATTCTGCAAAGTTGTGAACCAACCAACCATTGCGTGGTCTCGTTTGTAAGACTCGGACATATTTCAGCTCATAAATGACTCCGAATAAGATTGTTGTACCGACAATTCTGAGAGGGGCGTTGAGGAAAGTGAATCAGAAATTGATTTCGACGAAGAACCATCACCTTAGTCGGCAACCTGAGGACCACCACACCAGCATGGCAAGAGGAGTGTGAATAATTATTCAGGTGGAGCTGTGGGCAAACTGTGGCAAACAGTTATAGCATCTGTCGTCGAACCTGGAAATGGACAAATAAACTATTTTTCCATCTCCTGGATCTGAACAGTTACATCCTGTTGTCACACAGAGAATTTCGTCTCGCTCTTGTGCGGAACATGCTGGAAGGGGTCCACCTCGTCCTCAACGGCCCAGGGGTCGAACCCCTGCCGTTTAATCGGAGATATCTCGATTAGAGGAGGCCAAACCACATCACAGGCCTACTTCCTCTACTTCGTAATTCAGGTGTCGTGTGTGCTCTTCGCGTGGGAAACGAAGAACCGTCCGGACAAAGTGCGTGAAGTGTGACGTCGGACTCTGCATTTCCGAATGTTTCCAAGATTTCCACACGAAGCCAACATTCCGTTAGATGACACAGGTGGGAAGAGAGACAACTTATATAGCTGGTGTCCAAAAATCATGTAAGTAGAAAAAGAATTTATAACTTAAAATTAGATTTTAAAAAGCTGGCCGCACCCGTGGACTGCGCGACGACATATGGAGTCATTCGTCCCCTTGACTTTATTTTTATGACTCCATATGTCACCTTTAGGCTTTAAAATGTTAATAACTAGTCGCAGTGCATGGGGAAACCCACCCCTCCAACAATAATGATAATAATAATAACATGGCCAAGCTAACGAATGCATCTCTGCAACCATTCCTGCAAACACCAAAAATGTGAAGCCAGGAATTTTAATATCACTGGATGCAGTCCTGCCTCCCTTGAATGAGATAGTTCTGCTATCTCTGGTCATCCATAACTTTAAATTTTGTAAATTGTAAATACAGATCAAAACAAATATCCGCACTACCAGACACCTTCATTCTTTCTAACTTGCAATAACTGTCTTCATTCTTTCTAACTTGCAATAACTGTCAAAATGAACTGTGAAAATTTATAAAAAGCAAAACACCTCACTACCAAAGGCCGCTACAGTTTCAATTTGTTATGTATATGTGCATGTGTGTGTGTGGGGGGGGGGGCGGATTGAGAGTTAACAAATGCAGTTTAGTCTCTGGAACAAGTCTGAACATGAACAACCTTGCACAGCCCTGTTCACAGACACAAAGTCATCTACACAGTTCAGGACAGTCATTGCTCAAAATTGTTGGAAAAATTCTGTGTTTATGATTGCCTAATTATGTAGTACAAGTTCCACCATAAGATATTATTATTAACCCAAGCTGGTAACCTAAGAACACACTCACGAACCTTAAACTAAACTATTGGTAGCAGCTTGAGTACATCCTTGCCAACTGCAAGATCACATAAAACTTGTCATTGCAAACTAACTGCAGCATTATATATATCCAAAGACTGTAGTTTTCACTGTATGAGTTGGTTACTTCTTCTAAAGGATAACACAAGAACTATATGGGATGTTATCCAACCTTTAAAATGGCTGCTTGTGATCTGAAAATGGCACCACCCAGTACATTGTATAACCCTGCAATATTCAACACATCTGAAGTTTTGGAACAGTCTAGTATTGAAGAAGTGTATAATTAACAACAGTGTAAGTGAAGCAGATATTTCTGAATACAAATACAGTGCTTATTTTGTGATAAACACAGATGAGGAAACCAATGAAAAATTAGTGGTGATGCAAGAGCGAACAGGCCTAGATTTGAATAAATGAGTGATTGGCCATGGAAAAATGTTGATGGCCCTTACCAACCTAGTAAAATTCAGTTTTCTGAAAACACCGATTCTGCAAAGTCTGCCAGCAGTGCACAAGGAACTGTGAAGCTGTATTTTGATGACTCCGTGAGAAACGTCTACTACAGGTTTAAATAGGCTTCTACAAACATATGGACAAAGGGGGTAACTGTACTCACACATGTTATCTGGATTAAGTGTAAAATTTATTTTCTCTTAAAGCCTGTCACTGGGAAGAGGGGTTCATTTTGTCCAACATCATATCACAATCCAGTGAATACTGAAATGCAGCAGAGGTCTCCTGAAAAGAGTTACAAGTAGGTTTTAAGATACTACCAGTCTACTCACCAAAAGTGCTCCAACAACATCACCAACACAGAATGACTTTCCATAATCCTTGAACTTGCAGTCAGTTGAAGCTTTACCAGTTCCACCATAACCATAAGACAATGGTTCTTCCCCTTCACATAAAACAAAAGACTGGTTAATTATTAGCATCCATGCACAGACAATATCAAACATGACAATTAGGTGCATTCCAAGAACTTCCTGTATGACAGTACCAGTGAGTGAACCCATTTTAGGCTTAGCATTATATTTACTGGGTAGACAGTGCATAAGATTCCTGTGTTTGTTTGATGCTGAACTATGGACCAAGATTAACGGATTCAAGAACATGGGTGTGGGAACAGTGACTAAATTCAACACATTTCTGGGAAAAAACATAAAAATTCCATAATATGCTAAAGGAAGGTTTAGGTCTTATCATAGTAACTTCTCAATAGTGGGTCAAAACCAGGGATTTACAAGGTGGGCAATGCTTTGAGAATGATTTTCCCTCCTAAACCAATTTGCTCACTACAATCACAATTTACAACACTATCCACTTTTTCACAGCGTACTACAGTGTACTACTTAACCCTTTTGGTAGCTCATAATTTTTCAGTCATAGTATTTAATAACAATTTTAGGGCTGTGTCCTTATTCACCAAAGGTAGAATGGAGGACAGGTCAGACACATTCTGTCTGATGAGATGATTCACTACCAATAACTGTGGTGACGATGATCTGGCAGTTTGTGTCATACTTCACAAAGCAAAAGCAGTGCAAAGTCTCATAATATGAGATCAAAATATCAATAATCTAACAGAGATCCACATATTTTCTTCATCAATCTGAAAATTTTGGGGCATGTAACATGCAGCAGAAAAGAAAACTCCCACATGTAACACTAAAACATACGTGGGGCAATCCAAAAGTTTCTGAAATTTGAATTTTGCACGCGAATCGTTATGAGTACATCAAAATACTGCTAGGTGTCTCCTCACACATCCTTCTTGAATCAGTGTGGCAAGCGGCGTCGAGTTGAGTGGTTGGGTTTATTGTTGGTGAACGTATTTCCACTGTTGTTTTTCCGTGAATCTGTGGTTTTGCGATGGCTGACCTGAGAGAGCAGGGTGTCTGTATAAAGTTTTTTTTCAAACTTGGGAAAACCGCTGCAGAAATGCACCAAATGTTGAAACAAGCTTTTGGTGAAAACAGTTTAGGCCAGACACAAACTTACAACTGGTATAAGCGTTTTAAAAATGGCTGAACATTGACTGATGATGACAATCGTTCGGGACAGCCGTCAACAGGCAAAACACCAGAAAATGTCACGAAAGTTAGGGATCTGATTCTGCAAGGTTCTAGACTGACCATCCAAGACCTCTGTAACACCTTGGGACTAAGTTATGGTACATGTCAACGAATTTTGTCAGAGGAACTGAATATGAGGAGGATTGCGGCGAAGTTTGTGCCACGACTGCTGCAAAATGAACAGACGCAGCATCGCTTGGAAGTCTGCAAGGAACTTCAGCAACAGCTTCAAGAGGATCCAAACTTTCTTTCGAAGGTTGTCGCTGGTGACAAAAGTTGGGTTTATGGCTACGACCCTGAAATCAGGCAGCAATCATCGCAATGGAAGAGCCCTTCTTCACCTCGGCCAAAAAAAGCTTGACAAGTCAAGAGCAACATTAAGTCCATGTTGATTTGTTTNGAAAGCAGTCTTTTGGGATTTGGCACTGTGTATAAGTGGTGTTAACACCATTTATACACAGTGCCAAATCCCAAAAGACTGCTTTCTTCATAGTCACCGCAGTGAAAGCCTCAAATCTTACAAGATCTAGGTAAGATGTAATAGTTTTTATTAATATATTTCGGGAACTTTTGGATTGCACCACGTATTTTAGTATCATACTGTATGTCTGAATTTTATTTATTTTATTCTGTCACCATAATAGGAAGTATGTACACACAATATATTTGTTTCTTAAAACATGCTTTGGCTCATTAAGCCATCATCAGGTATCTAATTTTTTATAATCACGTGTCTTCTGTACACAGGAATATTTGCGGACAAGTACAGACAAATGTAAAAAGTCAAATATGTGATGGCTTAATGAGCTGAAACATTTTGTAAGAAACGATGACGAACATGTGTGCCCATACTTCGTATTGGGGGGGGGGGGTACATGTGCAGCACATTATGGAGGACAAATGTGGATGAAGTGGAAATCTCGATCTGAAAGTGTTTCACATTTTTACTGAACACATATGGAAGTATAATATCTGTGCACAGTGGATGTCATGTGTTCAATAATGACCGGAATTCCATGCATATGTGGCTCTCACCAGCATTTAAAACAAGTCCCTTAACATTTTGACAATGAATGAGCCATGAATGCATATGTTTGGCCCAGAATTAAAACAGCAAAGCATTCAGTGACAATCTTCCACTTCAGTACAGAAGATTCCATTATGTGATAATGGTACAGCAAACCCTTGCTAATGCAGATTAATTGGGGGGGAAGAGGTCATCCACATTAGATGATAATCTGGACTAATGAAGCAAAAGATAGCCCTAAAAGACAAAAGAAACTTTGATAATACATAAAAAAATGTATTCATATATCTGCCTGGATTATACTACATCTGGCTGGACTGTAACTGGATCAGTGAGGGTCTAGTGTACTGTGAAACCCTGCATATCATGTTCTTCACTGGCCAGAGACTTGTACTTCACCATCCTATACTGCCACATATCACTCTGAACACTATTATGGGTTATATTTCATGGAAAACTAGACCTGTCCTGTATCAGGAACCAGAACTGCTGAAACATGGCGATGTTCAGAGCTCTTGTTAAGGGCCAGAATTTCGGTGATTCCAGCACACCATCTTATTCCATATATGTAACAACATGTGATATTTTGATTGTATAAACAGAGGAGCCAATTCAGAAAAAAATGATTTAACTTACACATGCCAACAGTAAAGCTGTCACAGAATATTACACCAACTGAGAAGAGATTACAGTAATGCAACTGTCAGCCTCACACATGGGATAAAGGTGCCAACTGTGGTTGTGATTGCACTGTGTAGGCAAGATATGTAGGTACACTGACAACATATAATTTTCATTAATTTGTTGTGTCTGTAATGTGTGCTGATCATAAAGCTAGCTCACCTCTGAGATATGGGTGTCTGTATGAGTCAGAAGGAAGAAAAAGGAAATAAATAAATGAAACTTCCTCTTACATACCAGGTCTGACAATAAAGTTCGGGAACTTGCCACCCTGTGCTTGCCATGGCAGCAGTGGACAGAAACCTCAGTATGGTTTGATGACGCTGGCATACCAGTGTTTCACACATGTGTTGCTGTTGATCTATGGCAGTCTCCTTCTGAGTTCTGTCTATTATTGTCTGAGTGTGTTTTGGTGTGCGTCATGAAAATGTCGGAACGAACATTAAATTTCTTGTTAAACTTGGCAAGAGTGGAAGTGAAATCAGACAGATATAAGTGCAACTTTACAGGGATAATGCTATGAAGAAAACAACAATTTACAAGCGGGTGACATGTTTTTCTGAGGGAAGAGAAAGTCTCCCTGACAAAGAGACATCAAGACAGCCAGCAACAAGCAGAACCGAAGAAAACATCGCAAAAGTTCATCAAATTGTGTGTGAACATCATTGGCTGACTGTCAGGAGCATAACAGAGCAAGCAAACATCGACAAAGTCAGGAAAATCTTAACTGACGATCTTAACATGAGGCTGATGCGCAAAAATGGCACCAAAGACCTACACACTCAACACTGTCTGTGGGGGGTGAGTTTTTAGCTAGTAAACAATAATTGACCTGGACCAACATCCCATTCACCAGATCTAGCACAAAGATAAAGGAAATACTGAAAGGAAGGCATTTTGATGTTGATAACACCAGGAGTAATACGATGGCAGCACTGAAGGCCAGTCCACAGAACCACTTCCAAAACTGTACTGAAGGGTGCACCAGGCACTGGCATCGGTACATACCGTCCCAAGAGGAGTACTTTGAAAGCGACCACAGTGACATTCAGCAATGAAGTACGTAGCACTTTTACAGCTTTGAGTTCGCAAACTTTATTTGTGTCTGTGCATGTGAACACATGTGAGATATGCCACTATTATTCAACACAAGGGCTGCAAATTTACAAGGGCAGTTTGACAAGTAATGAGAATGACAACATTGCTCATCTACAGTTGCTGAGATAGTGCATGTGCAACTACTGCAAAGGTTGTCATTTTCCACAGTGCATATGTTTGTATGAGCTCTTGTTAAGACACCTGTTTTGCAATGGTGAAGCAAACGTTTTAAGGTAGAGATGTGCAACAGAATTTTGTGTTAAAAAATAACAGTGGAAAGACATCAAAGATGTTACAGAATTCATATAAAACAGAAGTAATAAGACAAGTTGGAACTGCAATCCACTGTGATCTGTATTCATAGCCACATGACCAATTAATTTAGCCCATACAAAATAACATGTGCATGAGTTGCACTGATTCACAGCTGCTATTCACAACAAAACAAACCATGTCTTGGTAGTCACATCAATATGAAGGAAAGAAAATCATCATGCCATTATACAGTGTAAAAGTAATTCAGTAAGTGCCATTATACAGTGTGAAAGCAAGTGTGTGGTGTGCATGCACAGTGACTTAATTGTATTTGCTTCAGCGCATGTTGCAAAACCCGTTTATATGCTGTGAGGTACAGTTAAATAAAATCTGATTGTTTTAGTGAACTTCTAATTAAGTAGAGTCAATGCCACAGGTATGGAAATGCCCTGCATTGTTTCTTCTACAGCTACACAGTAACCTCCTGCCATGCTGCCACAAACAACACACTTCTGCTGCAAATGAACAACTTTCCTACTTCCATGTTGGGCTATCCTTCCCCATTCCTATAACAAAGTTAAAAATAACACATGGGAAAACTTGCATGTCATTTTAGTCACTGGGTTTCATGATGTGGGCCTCCAGATGACAAAATCTTAATTCAGTCAGGATAATGGAGCAAGGCTTGTCTCTGTCATAGTACCTTTGGAAGGTATGACTACTTGCCAGTCACAGCTTGAAAGAAAAGCATGTTCAAGCACATATGAAACTGCCATGAAAACATTCACTCTACTTGAAACATAGAAAAACACTGGTAGGGTCAAAAGTCTTTGGGCCAAAAGCATGTGAAACAAAGAAAGTATGAGCAACGCAAATGTGTGTTAAGAATCAATGTCATAAACCAGATGACAGTGAATTTCACTAAATTAAATAAAATAAAATATGATAATATTGTGGTGAGGATGGCTAGAATGTTTCTAGGCAACAACCAGTAAACAACCTTCAGTCATGTTAGCACAGCCAACAATAGGATCAATGTTTACAGTTCATTGCTAGGTAAGTCAGCATGCCAATAGGCTGGCTAGATGGTTGTCATGTGACTGGATTTCTATCGGGTCGGCACCAAGACTGCTGCTATGCAACGTTACGGAAAACACTCTTTTACAACAATATAGGCTGTTTTCTGTGTGGAGGCTATATAACGAGATCCCAGGAATAACCAAGGCAGTGTTTGAGAGTATTTCAGAGTAACTGAGTGTGTTTAAGTGACATACAGTTCTCGATGTAAGATAGCCAAGGAAAGTTCATCATGTGAAGATTTTGTGTGCTTAGAAGACCTTATTCGTTCATAATAGTTAGAGTGATGTGAAGCGCTTGTTCCTGTGTTTTAATTGCATTACCAGGAGAGGACTAGAGTGTGTGTGTGTGTTTATAACAGTGAATTATGAAGTGTGTGTAAATCAGTGATAGTGCTGTACTAAGTGTGATTGAAAGAATTGTAACCAAAGGGCTAATAATTCCAATCATCTGAACTAGAACCTGTCATTTCATCACGTGTACCACCCTACACAAGATAATATATCAGCCTGCGAATGAAAATAATGCTTAATGGAAAACCTAAATTATGAAAGCAAAAAAGTGAAAAATCTTACCCAGTTGCATAGAGGTGTCACCTGCAGACCAGCCAACTCTTACAACATGAGGGGTGGGTTCATCTCCCAGGTGGGACACATCACAATTTTCAATCAACTGGAACACCGTTTGTAACAATTTATCATTTCCATTACTAAATTGGCTTACTACAGTAATGACAAAATTATTTAATACTTTGAGGACTGTCAAATCATATACGTATTCTCACAAATTTTCTTCGTAAGACATTAAAATCAGCATTTCAGTTCTGGTTAAAGTCTGGTAACAATAAGAGAACGGGGGCGGACGGTAGCATAGTTGGTTAAGGCACTATGCTACAAGCCAGAAGGTCATGGGTTCGAGTCCCAACGAGGTGGAGTTTGCCTTCCAGCCTCACTAAGGCCCTGGGGTTGAATCAGCCTCTAAATGCTAGTGTGCTAGGAATCTTCTTGGGGGGTAAAGGGCGGCCAGGGCACAAGGCTGACAACTTTACCACCATCTGTGAGCCACGTGTATATAGAGAAAATGTGGGAGCCTTGCTGCCTCACAACCCTATAGGCCTTCATGGCCTGTCACAGGGATAGCTTTACATTTTATTAACAATAACAGAACAGACTTTGGAGTGAATGATCCAATGATTTTTAAACAGTGTGACTGTGTGAATGCTACTTGTGGGTAATAGTGAATTTAAGCAGTGACCATGATCATTGTCCAGCCTGCTGTTACCTCTACAGCTGCACAAGCTTTATTATTATTATTAGAGGGCGTGGGTTTCCCCATGCACTTAGACCAGTTATTGGTCCATTGTGTGTCCCCCTTTAATTTCTACTGTTGCCATACCCTATCAGTGCTGGTGCGTGCTATCAGCCCCGTTCAGCCAACGAGGTCGGCCTGGTACCTGATATTTCCCCCATCTACCAGAGGCATTGGAAACTACTCGGGCGGGAAATGCGTTGCCTAATTTTTCTCAGAGGTCTCCTAGAGACATGAGGATCTTTTACGTGCCGTAAATCTACAACACGGGACCCACTGCTTAAAGTCCCTCCTGGAGGACTTGTTCCCTGAATTTTTCCACCCTTAAAAATTCCACAACCTCCGCCAGGTTTGAACCCATGTACCTTGCGTCATGAGGTGGGAATGTCACCCCTAGACTACGGAGGCCGCTAGCTTTATTATTAACAGCAAAATATATCTGCTGATCACCATACAGGATAATGTATTAATAGTTATATTCATGTATTTTATTTTGTTCTATAATCAAGCATAATTTCTCATTATTATTTAATGACATAAACCTCTGGGGTCATTTTTCTTCAGACACATATTCTGGTAGATTTTGATATATAAGACAAATGTTATTAATTGGAGAGCTGGAAGAAACCAGCAGTACAATTTTTAAATTTTTCTGAAACTTTCAAAAGTAGCAATGTAAAAATCGCAAATCCATCAGACCATCAGTGCTTGAAGGAACAAAAAGATGTGTTGAAAGAGACAGTAATAATTTGCAATACTAAAAAGAGCAGCTGCTACATACGTCACTTTTAGCATTTATTCTGTTTCCAGCACGTATCAAAAATTTGTATAAATATGTAAAAATGGTGAATAGGTGTTACTGATTTCTTGCATTAGTCGTCATGGACCAATGACAGGAAATTCTTGCACACATTTCAGTGAATACTTTTTAGATGCATTTCTTGACATCTTTGAACTTCTCACAGAAAATATACCTTACTTCACCTTTTATAAACATAGTATAATACAATGGAACCACTATTTAATCTGTCTCAAGTAAAGGTTTACCTTCATTTACTATTCAATTTAACTGATCCAAACTCAAGTATCTAAGTCTCAAATACCTTCAAGATTTTCTAGGGTGCTGAAATCCACTGCATCCCAAATCATAAATGCAGATTTACTACATGCATTCATACATATCCTAGAGCTGAAATTAACTAGAACAACACTACACATCGATGACAAATGAAATATATTGTCACATGTTGGGTATGTCACGCGACAGATAACTTCATGTTGGTCTTGGACTTAGCGTATCTTTATTGAACATTCACTCTTACACACCTTACAATTATTATCGCTTGCAGTGTCACTTGACTTCTGGCTTAATACTTCAATTGCCGTGGTTGGATCTCAACTGTCTCTGGCGGCGGCTATCTGAAGACTGTCTCGTTCTCAATACTTCAATACTCAATAATGACTTCTTGCTGTCTTTTCTATATCGTATGGCGTCTGGGTTATGACTTATGTAAGTGTTCTGCAGACTGGATACCAGACACCATTCCTCACTGTTTCATTTCTACTGTCCGCCGTTACGTAATGGGCGCAACGAACTCTCTGCAGTTCATTTCTCGGGAGACACGTTCGTTGCTTCAGGAACGGTCCTTATAGATTACACCGGTAACATGTTTCATCTCATCCGTTGTTACTCAACGACAATTCGTTGCTACGGTTTGTCGCTGCGGGAGCTCCACAATTTCCATGTATTTGTTGTCGTGGAAGTGTCTGTTCCGATTGTAGTGGTTGTCGCGGCGATGGATGTAAGGTAACGAGTCACAATATTATAAAGAAAATGTTTTATTATATAAAACAGTTTACTTACTCTAACTTCAAAAAACACTTTTCCTTTCTGAAACCCATATGTGGCTCGTGCTCCAGCCCAGATGTAACCAAACCCATGATCAAACATGGGTGCAGCTGAAGCAAAACTTTCTTTGTCAATAACCAGGTTTAAGTCCGAATCATCTGAAAACAAAAATCCCATCTTTACCCTCCTATGGGATCATCTCATTCCACAGTAAATATTTATGATGGAAAAATACTTCCAATACAATCCTCGGGTACAACTCTCCATCCCTACACTTCTCAATGATCCATTTTAGGTCCAAAGAATAGTTCTATATTGAAACTTGGATCTAACTTCATCCTGCCTCCACTGTGACACAATGGTATCAGAAATAATGTTCCCTGGATAACATACAACTCTTAGCCACTTATGCAAATGTGATAACTATAAACTTTATCAGCCAGGGTTTTAAATTTTCTGGTATGAAGGGGCTGCCAGCCAGATTTTAACTTTGCACTAACTCAACACAGTATGTTTGTAGCTGTCAACATAATTCAGGTATGAGTAATAACAAAGGTTATTTACAGTAATGTGTGTATCTCACATGAGCCATAAGGACACAGAACAGAGCACTATACAAAGCTCCTGTAACGCTTCATGGCGCAACACTGACTGACTCACTGATATCACCACATGAATAACCTTCAGTTTGCCAGCAGATCCTATTGAGTCTGCTGACAGAGAGTTCTGAGAAGCTCCCTGGACATCTAATAAGCCTGCACAATGAACAATCAGTACACATGCCACTGTCACACTTTTCACATCAGTAAGTTACGCACACCTCTGGTATTAACATAAAAGACATAGCACTCCATCTAAGGGACCAGGTACCATAAGGGCATAAGGCAAAGTAGTTTTCAGAAACTGTGATCTTTGCAAGTTATTTTATCATATGCAAAGAACACAGAGAGATGACCCATTGGGCACGAATGGTACAGTGTAAGGGACACAAGTCATAAAAGGAGTGATGGTCGAATAGAGGTAACAGAAAAAGAGCACCAGGAACAATGCTGTACAAGGAAAATGGAAAGGAAGGACATTTGGGAAGAGATGTTGGGCGAAACTGGAATACAATGGCAAAAGGAACTGAGACTTAAAAAATGGCTACATCTTGGAATGCGAGAGGACATCCACACACTCTTCACTGCCAATGCTGTGACAATCTCAAGTTTAACAAGATATATGCCATTGTGTCTCTGAAGATGTGATGGAACTGCAAAAAACTTTAGATGAAAACACATGACCAGATTCTTTGATTCATATTGTAACAGCAGAAATATGGAAGAGATGCCCATTAATGAGCAATACCACATCACAACCTGTATCCTGGTAATGAACACACCCAGCATGAGTCAGAAATTACTGTTGGCACTGCAGCCCCCCAATGACAGTGTAAGAGGAAGTACACTAGGAGCATACTAGATCTGGTTAGTCAGTCTGCAATGACAGAGCATCTAGGAAATAAGACCATGACAACAAGGGAGAAGAATTAAGATGAAGAGTCAAATGGCAGCGTTAATTAATTAAAAAAAAATTGCTTAGTGGTGGGTGGAGTCCAACTGGGTCTACTCGGCACAGCGGCCACTGATTGGCCTATTCTAGCCTGCCCCGGGTGACTATGATGATGGAGAATTTGGTGGAATGATGATTGGCAGGGGAAACCTAAGTACTCGAAGAAAACCCACCCCAGTGCCACTTTGTCCACCACAAATCCCACTTGTCCAGACCTGGGATTGAATCTGGGCCGCTGCAGTGGGAAGCCAGCATACTAACCACTTGAGCTATGGCGCAGCCTATGGCAAAGTGTAACTACTTGTAACAAAGCAGCAGCACCGTCTAATAAATCCACTTCTGACAGTAAGTCATTTCATGTGACACTGATGTCAAAAGTGGGACAGTAAACAGGAAACTGATCCAAACTGCCAGGTTGGAATGTCAACCAAGTGACATGAGGGCCAACCACAAAGAGACTAGGACCAGCCAGGATGGGGCAAGAGCCATAATAAGACTGGCCAGGATGAGACAAAGGTGACAATAAGCTCCATCTAGTCTACCCAGACTGAATTTGAAGAAACCATCACAGCCAGACTATTGGGCGGTGAGCGTACTAGCGGCTGCCAAGAACCAGAACCTCTGCAAGGCGCTTGACACTGAGAACAAAGGAGCATGACAGGACAAAGAAGTGACAAAGACACTCAAAAAGGTAGACGTCTGAGCAGGGAGTATATGAAGTTGGGACACAGCAACTGGCAAAGATAGCATAAAGCTATAAAGGTTTGATGGGTCCAGGTCCTGTACCACTTCAATTAGTTCAAGGCTGTGCTGTGGAACAACTGGACAGCCTGGAAGAAAGGCAAGCATCAACTTGCTGCCCTGCAGGGGCAGGCTGCTGACTAGTGTCCCTACAGAAGCAGCATATAAAGTCATCATCTGGGAGCTCAAAAGCTGTTACGAGAACCTCTAACTGGTTGCATCTCACCATTCAAAAGTGAAAGGCGAGCTTCTGCAAGAATTAGCTACCAGCATCAAGCAGCTGGTCCACCAGGTACTTGTCAAGATGCCCTAGGACTACATGCAAGAAGAGGTAACCCATGTGTTCAATGGGGTAAAGGTCTGGGAGGTCATGCAGCACCTCCACATGGGCGGAAAGAGGATTCTCAATGAAGGCAACCAGAAGGTGTGGACTACTGTGATGGTGGCCATGGATGATTGGGACCACACCACCCCAACCTTTACTCCAGTGGCCATATATGTGCCCTTTGGCTGTTTGACAGTGCAGAAGTAAAGTTGGTAAACCTTGTTCCTGATATGGTCACACTTGTCCACCGTTTAAATCTAGAGCTGTAGCGCAAGTTATTCTCAGCTCTCCTTAGTTTACCCACTTTTTTCTGGCATATAAAGAGGGGAGACAAGAAGTGTGAAGATTGGAAGAGGAGTCCAACAAGGATGCTGTTTATCACCAATTTTGTTCAACTTGTACAGCAAATGCCTTACCAAAGAAGCTCTGGACGGGCTTGGAGACTTCAAATTAGGAGGGAAAATTATTCAAACTGTGAAATATGCATAGGACCTTGTGTTAATGGCTAAGGAAGAAACTGTGCTACAGGGCACGATTGATAGACTAATCAAAATTGGAAGGTGCTATGGCATGGAAATGAATGTGGAAAAAACAAAAGTAATGAAAATTTGGAGACAAGCAACCCCAGTCACAATAAAGATAGACCAAAAAACACTAGAGACTGTGAAATGAT